CACTATTCATTATCTTATTGATTTCTGAACAATTGCAAGTTAGTCTTTGGCCTTTTATCAGCAAGAGTACTAACGCCCAACAATTATTGTATGATAAAACATTAACAAGTCGGTTGTTTTTAAATTGTTCAAGATCCAGCTAAGTGCACACACACAACCTCGCATAATTTCTTCTCCATTTTCTCATTTGATTGCACAAGGTTAGAAGAATTGATGTTCGAATTTGATTGGTCATAATTGTTTTATCGACTCAGTCAAACTGTGCAAGTAATAAGTGGATTGGGTTTCTGCCAAAGAGTCTTCGGACCCAAGCTTATGGATCGGGTTTGGACTTCCGTGGTCCACCCAGTCATGCGTATATGGCCCAGGAACCAGCCCAGATTGGTGCTTCTAGCAAGCCCACTCATCAAATCAGCTGAATTGGGTCATTTCCACCTGGAATCATCTGGTTTTGGTCGACAATGTGGTCTTAATCGTGCAGGTGTTATTTTCAACCAATTTGAGAATCGCTTCCAGAATTGTAGAAGAGAAACCAATTTGAGAATCGTGTTCTTTATATAAATTGATGTGCAGAATAAAATACATACAATTGTAGAAGAAAGTCCCTATCATATTTTTCCTTGTTCATTTCCTGTCAGGCCATGGTCCTACCTAAAACAGGCTTTACAATTAAGTTTTTCAACATCTGGCTCTAGTTTAACCTTTTTATAAGTAAAGAAAAGCATGCATATTTCAATAAGCCCATTATCGTTAGCTATTTTTCTTGTCGAGAATATAGATTTTTAGTACAATTAAATATATTTTTACAACATGAAGAAAGCTTAGTTGTCCTTCTCATTCCCTCCTATTCCCTCAAATATATAGCCTTCTGTTTATGTAGTTGTCATGAAAAGTCATGTTTATTGTGATTCATCAAATGCTAAAAGAAAATTACCAAGAATGAAATAGAAGTTGTTTACCCTTCAAGGATATGTAGTATGTAGTTCAAGTTATGAGAAGTCATGATGCTTTACTCCGCATGAATATTTTGCAGGGACTCTTGGCAAAGAACATATCACCTGTTGCAACTGCTGCTCAATTGAGAACAACGCGGAAGGGGTCAAATGACCATCTCATCCTCAACATTGATTCAGGGCCTGTTCATTCAATTGCTGCCCGGGAGATTGATGCCAAAGGTTTGACATCAAGCTTCTGATTTCAAAAATAGTTCATCAGCACTCGTGCATTTGCATTACACTGAAAACTCTGTATCCATTCTGTCTTGAACAGGCCATGTTTTCAAATCTCTGAATACTACTGGTCTAATCCCAAAACAAGGGAAGTTGATTGCAGATCGAATTGATGGTGTTTGGTGAGTTATTAATCATCATCTTACCCTTTGATGTTGTCATGCTATCTTGTTTTTTTCCTAATATCTCCCTTGAGTGCCAACTTCTATGATGTATTTATCTTAGTGTCAAACACATTCTTTCTCTAGGTTCTTGCAAATATCTGATACAGGTAATTCAGGCAGTTAGGTCACTCTCTGACATCAGTTTACTGTCCTTTTCATGAACACTATCTAACATACCAAATTAGACAAAGCATAAATATCAGTAGCTTCATTTAGACCCTAAACTGCTAAATTGTTTTGCGAAACTCATTTTTCAGCAGAAATTTAGTTTGCAAGGTGGTGCTTGTTGGGTCATTGCATTTTCCTGGATCCAGTCAGAGCAAGGGTTCTTTAGAAAATCGAAACAGACATAAACGTTCCTTGTTGACACAAATAAACTCTTTTCTTGTGTTTCAGCATTTTTCTTATCATGCTTCTCATATGTATTGTTTCTTTCAAATGCCGAGTTTAACACCATGGCTTTCGTTAATATTATTCGACTAAAAGATGCCAGTTTGATTTGTTCACAGGTTAATATTATTCGATTTCGTGCTTATTGCTTTTGCAGGGTTTCTGGTGGTCAGTTACTGATGCGTCGTCCTGGAGCAAGGCTAAGTATCATGGCTTACATGTTCTTCTTGCATCTATGGTTGCTAGGCACCATATTGTAACAATGTCAGCACAGCTACAAATTACAAATTGTAACATAGAAGTAAAAAAATAAGCTCTTATTATCATTAATTTTTTATATTTAGTTAATGTCCCATTCGTTTTTCCCCTCCACATAGTTGAACATGTATTCAGACCATTTATTAGCTACCTTACAAATGTAAGGTGATAAGATATATCTTGCCCATGCATAATATATTACATGCTACATAGAAATTTTTTTTGACAAGTTATGTATGTTCACTCGTTAGCCATGAACTTTAATGCTTCTTGTTTAATGCTTTGTTGTGTCCAACAAATCTTGTGATTTAGATCATGTTTGTAATTTAGATCATCACACACAATTGTTGTTTGGAGGAAAGAGAATACGTCTGTCTACTCCATTCACTTCTTGTAATAAACTGACATACAAATCATTTGCCAGAAATAAGAAATAAATGTCTCTATACTGTGTTAGTGGATTTTTGACATCATCCATGATGTAATGTAGTCAATCATCAACAATCACAATAATTGTTTTCTTTATCCACCTTTTATAGAATAATATCCTTATTTAAATCAAAAGCATTTAAAATTTATCAACAAACATTAATCCAAACGCACCTAATTATTTTTTATGAGTGAATCATCCATCATATAGCCTTGAAATAATAATAATAATAAAAGAAATCTAACACATTTTTGTCATTAACAAAAACAATAAAAATATTTTTATTTTTTATAAAAGAGCATTTTTTTTGGACTTCCATATGCAGAAAGAAATAGGTCAACATTCTTACGCAAGAAAGAAGTGACGAGGCAAAGGAATTGGTTCGGTCAAACGATGTTTCGTTAATATCGATTGTTGTCCGCGCCCAAACCCAGCTCTGTTAGTTACGCACACTACCGCGATTTCTTCCTCCCTCGTTGCGACCCACGTCCTTCGTTCCGTCTCCTCTTCCGCCACCATCTGCCGCAGCTTTCCTCGTGGGTTCCAGCCTCGGCACCCACCTCGCCATGGGTGTGTAAGCATCTTCTTGTTGTTTCCTCCTCCTGCCCTTTTCTCGTGGCCGGACAAAGCCCTCGGGGTTCGGTCGCGAAATAGCTGCTGTCGAGCACGATCGACCTACCCATCTGTTGCTTGCAGAATCATGCTTCTGGGGTATTCGTTTTCGTTTCTTGTGACGAGATCGGTGCTCTATCGTTCGATTTAGGTTCTTTCGGATGAGTTTGGGGCTCTCTTTCTTGGGTTTTCGTTCGTCTTTTTCCAAGATTGTACATGCGGCATTTCCGGTTCGTACGTTTTGTTTCCGGTTACAAGATCGCTTACTCATCTCTCTTTCTTGGTTTGTCGTGGATGCAAGGATGTGCATTTCATTCGACGTATCCAGTTCACTCGTTTTCGGTCACGAGATCGCATCTTTTGTGATTTGGTTTTGTTGCTATCGGATGGATTATGGACAAAACCACGCTCTTGGGTTTTTCGTCTTTGGTGCAAGAATGTGCATTCGGCATATCCACCGCATTCCTTCTTTGGTTCCGCGTTTCCAGCCCTTTTTCTTTTTTGTTCTGTGTCACGAGATGGCTTCTTCGATTTAGGTTATTTCGGATGGGCAATGGAGGAAAACACCACCCCCTTTCTCTTTCTTGATATGTTGTAGATTGTGCGTTCGGCGTTTCCAGCCCCATTCTTTTTTTGTTGTGTCACGAGATCGCTTCTTTATGGTCCCAATTTATTTAGTTTCTTTCGGATGGGTTGCGGACAACAAAACGCTTTCTTTCTTTCTTGGTTTTTCATCTACCCCGTCCGTGTGATGCAAAGAATGTGCGTTTGGTGTTGTGTTTGTTACACATCGCTTCTTTATGGTTCGATTTGGCTTCTTTCGGACAAAAAAAAACACGCACTCTTTCTTGGTTTTTTGGTGTTCGTTGTGTGACGCAAGAATGTGCATTCGGCATATATATATATATATATATATATATATAGTCTTTGTTTTCGGTCACGAGATGGCGATTTAGTTTCCGTCGGATGGGGTTACGGACAAAATCCATCTCTTACTTTGCCATTTTTTTTTGTCTTCGCCGTGATTGGTGCATTCGGCATACATTTTTTTTCTTTTTCTCTCTCGCCTTCTCTGTGTGATGGATGCAAAGAATGTGCACTCGACATAACCATTTCGTTCGTTTCGTTTTCTGTTACAAAGATCGCCGCTTTAGTTAAGGTTCGATTTAGTTTCTTGAGGACAAAAACGCTTGACTTTGCACCATCATTTGCTGCCACAATAAGATCAATAAAGTGCAAAAACTTTTAACACAAAGTTATACCCTCGTGTTGATGAGACAAAGTGAGGTGAGATCACGCACGGAAAGATAGAACAGTATGATGAAGAAAGAAGAAAGGATGGGCTACACACTGATGACGACGTCGCCGTCGGGGCTCTGGAGCATCTTGTCCATGCCCTTGGGGCCGAGCGAGGTCCGGAGGATCCGCGCCACCGCCTTCCCGCCCGCGATGTTGGCCTTCTGCGCATCCAAGCCGCTCAGCGGGGCCTTCTTCTCCTGTTATTTTATGATGATGAACGGCCGCCCGAACTCGTCGAACGCCAACGCCATCTCCTCCGCCTCGTTGTTGTCCCTGCTCCACTTGACAGCACTAGACGCAGTCGTGGATTCCAGAAGGGTTTGGACACAGAGAGACATGTGGCCCAATAAAGGCCCAGTGTAGGCTATGTTTTCACTCTGGTAAAAGTTACTGGCTCAAATGGAACGAAATGAGAAACGGAATTAATCCTTCATCAAAAACACTTAACAAAAGCGATTTGCTTTTAAGATTTAGTTTATGCTCTTGTAAAATATATATGTATATGTATATTTATATTTATATTTATACACATACACATACACATAAAATCAACGGACGGTTGAAGTCACTCATCAACCATTGTTCAATTACAACAACAACAATACAACAAGCGAGTTGAATACAAGAAATAAATTTACCATTACAATCTCTATCGTGTCAAACATATGCACATACACAAACCAGGTAAGCATTCATACTGAATTGCACAAAGAAATTATACAGGAAAATTATCAAATGAATCATGTGGATCAAATATCCAACTTATTCTGTATAGATGACAGCAAGTGCTCACAAAAAAGAATAATCATTAGAGGACAGAAGCTTACAAAGTTCTATTTTCTTCAGCATAATTCTTTTGAAAGCTTCAGTACCTGAAATAAAATCTGAGGGCAAGAGTAATGAATCGTGTATTAATATATAAAAAAATATCATGCTTCTTCGTTTCAGCACGGAAATGTCCCTGTTAATTTGATATGATCAAGAGTTCGTCGGAGGCCATACTGAAGAACTGCACGGTTACCAGCTCTGAAACCATCTCCATATGCTGGTGACGTGTCTGATTCGATCTGGTGCTTAAAAAAGTTGCCCAGTTTTCTCTCGAACTGAAACCTGGAACCCTTCTTCGATGTTGTAGATGCCGAAGAGGATGAGGTGGATGCAACATTATCGCCAGACCCTGAGATGATCTGAGAGTCCAGCCACATGTGCGCCAGAACCTGACAGATGCCTTCTTCAACTTCTTGGCTAAGAGAACGATATCCTGTAAGACAATCAGAAGATTATTTAGTAAAATTAATAGAGAGCAAAACTGAACCAATGCACATGCTGTGAACTACATGTGAAATGACAAGGGCTATTTTGTACTTGAGATTTCAATGCCTTAGATGAATTATGAAATTTTTTATTCATAAATTAATATTTGTTTGTGGTTGGTGGTGAAAAAATGATTGTCTTCTGCAGTATGGAGATGCTGATTATTTTTCAAGAATTTCGACTGATTGGACAACCTAATATGATTCAATCCCACTGCTGCTTAACTCAAGAGAAACATATCAGACAACAGAACATACTAAATGGGTGGCAGCAAAACTGAAAAAAAAAAAATTGCTTCGGCAACTTTACACCAAGATTGATCGGTTCCATGCTACAAGCCACTGGGGAAAAAGAGAAGATATCCAACTGTTTAATACTGGGACATGGTCACTTGAATAAATCATGATTTTAAAGCAAGTCATGAGTTTGAAAATGCTCAACTTTAAAACACAATAACTCATAGCCAGGGGAATTAGCATTTCAGAAGTCCTCATTTTTGTCCAAGAGAATTCATCACCCTTTAAACACCCCACCCAGATCAACCTAGGACAAGCAGCCTGGTCGAGCATATCCCCAAGAAATGTTCTGACAACCACTCAAAAGTCGATTATGAGATGGCCATTATCTATCAGACTAATAATCATGACCACGAGAGGAACCAGCAAAATATATATCGGAAAATTTAACTAAAAGCCTCTTTTAATCCAACCAACCAATTCTGTGGGGTTTGAGATGTTGAAAGTTGAAACAATAAAGTTCTCACACTAATACATGAAATCAGATGCTAGCTAGTAAACTCAAATGGGAAAATACTCATACAACAGAAAACCAAAAAGATCAATAGACAATGAGAACAAGAAAGGCAATAAGAAAAACATTACAAACTAGAGAAGTACCTTGGAGCCGAAGCCATGCATGCATCATCTCATGAGCTAAAATACACCCAGTGAGCAGTCTGCATAGATGAGAATTCAAGAATGTATTTTTAGAAGTGATTGCAAAATATATCACCGCTAGATCTCGAAAATTGATAAAAATCTTAGCATTAATGCCAAGATTTTAGCTAGAAGTAACTCAAACATTTGGCAATATAAAAAGTTCGAGCTATATTCAAAAAGGTAGGCACCAACTTTAGTAGGGACTAAAATCATTTCTGATGCCAAGAATAATTCAAGTAACTAAACAATACCTTGGAAGACCATACAAAATAAGAATTGCAGTCACTTCACATCGGCGAGTAAGTCTACATGGCTCTGTTATCATGTTCATTATTTTGTTTCCAGCTCCAATTCTTGGCTTCCTTAAAATCTGGATTTGGCAATCCAAAGTTTTTTAGACCAATAGATCTAAAATGTAAATAAGAAACACAATCTCAACAAACATGACATCCAAAAATAGATGACGAAGATTTTCACCCTTCTGACAGTCTGCTCCTCAGATAGACAAAGGCCTCTTGTTTCTGGGAGGTGATGATGCCCCTACACCCATGGAAAGATAAATTACCAATTCACTAGTAAAAATGAAGCATTAATGATGAAACTTTTGATGCAATTGTCTCACATTTTTCTCTCCTTCTATGGCCTCATTTAGAGCTTGCCTCTCAACGAAGAGCAAGGGAACCCGCTGTCCGATTTTCATATGTAAACCTTCATAAAATTCCTGTATATCAAGGTACAGAGGTTGGCATTCATTTGTATCCATTACTGCAGAGTCTAAACACTCCAGGCAGAGCATCCTCCCATCATCCAGAGTGACATATTTTGCGTCTCTGGGCTGGAAAGCACAAAAACAAGAAAGAAAGAGCACCACACCGTAAAAAGGTGATGCATGTAATTTATAGAGAAGTAAACCGATTGTTTAAACGTTAAATCACATGGAGAGCCATCTGGATGCATTATCAATTCTACAAAACCTAGAAGATGATACTGAAGTTCTAAAACCAACCTCCATTCGTTCACAACTGCAGCACCTGGGTGTACCATCCATTTCATGTGAAGGACAGTACTTCTGCAACCAGAAAGGAAGTGCCCTGTACTCGATAAAGCCATTCATATTTGTGGGAATCTGAAAAGGAGTTCAGATTTATAGATTAAACATATGCCACAAGTTCAGAAAAGGAGTGATTAATAAGAACATCCACAAGCTGGATCAAAATTGCAAGACACCCTACCCTGGCATTCCTTGATGCAATTTTAAATTCAGACTAAAGAAATTCAGCTACAAATTCAAGTGCGTTCCAGGTCATGAAATCATGAGCTTCTAAAGTTATTAAATCTATAATTTTAATAATAAAAGATTAGATATTTTCAACATCAATGAGAGAGCATGTTGTATTGCTGTTGTTTCATTGAACAAAGTAATCTTGGTAAGCAATATCCATTAGTAACTTAGATACAATAACTCAGAACATTTGACACCTGCATAATCAAATGTTGCCAAAATCCTGCCAGACAAAGAAAAATTATCCTTTGTTGCAGTAAGGTCAAAATACATTACAGCATTAAAAATGCTTTCGAATTTGTAATGACCACCACAAGGTCCTCTTGACGTTTTCTAAATTTATAGTAAGCACTTAAAAGCAATATATTGTGATCGTTCATCAACAGTGCACCAGTGTATCAATAATATCTCAGACAACCTGACAGCCTTCCAGAATGAACAAAAACTGCTTCAATTCTATGATCTTTCAAGTACATAATTAGCAAGATAAGCACTCACAAATTGCTTGCAGACATCACATTTTGGGTGATAAAGCTCCTTGTAACAAGATTTATGGTAGGGGTACTTTCCAGACATGGAGAACTGTTCCAAAAAGATGTCAAGTATTAGACTTGATCTTAATTTCTGACAAAGATAATTCATTTTCTCCTTGCCTCATAATCAGATATTGGTTGACTACAGGCATGGCAGCGAAAACATTCTGGATGCCAATAAGCATCCATGCAACTAAGAAAGCGTCCATGACCAATCTCAGTATTACATCCAGCACATATCCTATAGCAAAAACCAGAAAAGTTCTGAATGATAAAAAGGAGACCATTACTACATTGAACATAGATGATAAAGTTTCTTGCATTGGAGTTATAATGCATGGTACAATATAAATAAAATACATTGCAGCAGATTTACTGGGTAAAATCTTTTTTATCATGGAATTTAGATATTATTCAATAAGAGAGTATCATCAAGCCTGTCCATATACGTAGTGACCATGAAACAAGAGGAATTTTTCCCTTTTCAAATTAAGATTTGCTAACTGCTTGATCAGTTGATAAGAGTCATGGACACCTGTCATAACAAAACTATTATTTCTGATAATATCTAGCAATGTTAACCGGCTAACTCAACAGGACCGTCGATATTAATAGCTCCAATTTAAAGTATGAATCACCATCCTTATAGTCAAAAAGGCTAAGAATGATTGCAGCATTTTGTCATTGCAAGATGCATTAATTCTAAGGGTAAAGGAAAAAAAAAATTATGTGACACATTTTCTGAACAATTGATGCAGTGCTTTATCAGCAAAGAAAAAGCAGACAGAAGAACCTCAAACATGGGTCCCATTGTGTTTTGAGTTTTTGGCATATGAAGATTGGAATGAAATCTTAGTTTTTGACATATGAAAATTAAAATAAAATCTTAAAATTCATAGAAAATGTACATTTTCTTATAAAAGGATCATAAGATTGTAAACAGCATATATGTTCAAGTATAGAAAACATGTAGGCTATTAAAGTATCATGCAGATACTGCCAATTTATTTAAAAGGTATCAATACTTTGTAGTGTCACTAACAAGCAATACAAGTTATATGGCAGAAAATGTGGAAAGTTCGATGAATATAGAATTATGTGTCAAGTTCTGCAATGGAACCAGTTTAATAAACTATACATGCAATAATAAGGATTCTCTTGAATTTTCCCCATAATTTCATGAGATCAAAAAGTTTTAGACGAGGTAACTGAGATATCAGATGCCGTGGGAATTCTGTAAATGGTGGAAATCATTACATGTTCATGTAATTACAGCTGGTGAGTGAAAAAAAAAAGTAAAGTGTTATCTTCAACGATTTTGCTTTTAACAAGTGCAAACTATTCCGGGTGTATGACAGAATACAGGTAACTTCTTAAGCAACAGCAGCATAGTACACAAGGTTTCCACCAATTGCAAGGATTAATAAAGGTCAATGAATTAATATTTTCCTTAATAGCAAAGAGGCTGCTTATACAAATAAATCTTAGTCACTACTCTTTAAACAAGAGCAATAATATTAATAAATACAAAAGAATTTGGTATCATCACTAACTCCTAAAGATAAAATATGATGAATGATTAGACCTTAGCATTTAATAATATTGATAGACACTAATGTGAAGTGAAAATCACCTGAACCCTGACGAGAAGAGTAATGGTGCTTGTTGAAAAGCATGACCATTTTCTCGAGGAGGGGAAGCTGCATTAAGACTTTCTTGCAAAGCTCTTGCAAGTTGTTCATCTTCCTCCAAGGTAGATGCATTTTCTAATAGAGAGCAACAATTCGTCAAATGCCAAACATAGTTAGAAATATGATTCTCACTAAGGCTTCAATATTGGTAAAACTAAATTTTTTTCCAAGACGAAATTTGATAAATCAAACAACCAAAGATGCATCTGTTCTAAACTTTAAGCACTACGTAAATATATAAAGAGATCATAGAAGTAAGAATGTTCAATGTTCTAACTCTGCCAAAAGCATTCCTATCAGCCAAAGCAGGTTGAAGATACATAGCCTGAAAAAATAGTCTAAACTATATGGCATTTCGACTGAAAAAGATGATACTATTTCAGTTAGTTGAGCAACATGAACTCGTCAATACAGACAAGATACCGAGAGGGTCCAATATGACATGATATATATAATGAAGGCAGTACAATCTGGCACATGTAAAACATCAACAATATATTTGGATCTATGATATAATACATGACAAGTCTTGACATCCAATTAGATAGTCTCAATATATGTCCATAAATGAAAACTAATGGGAATAACTAATAAGTAATTAATGACTATTGCAACTTTACTCATCAAGAAAGGAGTTAATTTAATAACAGTTCCCCAAAAAATAAAGAGAAATTAATAGAAATTATAAGGTCATAAGATGGACTAGCCATTTAACTATTTCATATAGACAACATAATGGTAAAGAATAATACAAAAACATAGAAATTATTTACAACAATATTAAGAGTGTTGAGAATACCAGGGCCATATAATACAAAAACTTTGTCTATAGTTCGTCTATAATAATTAAAGAATGTCTTTAACTATGTCACAAAGAAATAATCACTTTGATGCAGATTAGAGTTTCTATGGTTATCAGAAAGCAATGTGGTCTTGCCAGTCACAATTATTTGAACATAAAAGAAAACAAGAATAAAAGGCTTGATGCGGATTAAAGCTTTCCATGGCTATCAAAAACCGATCATGCTTGTTAGGATCATTTAAACTGCTGTCAGTCTTTTTTTCCCTTTTTCCATTCTGAAAATGCCTTTCAATGAAAAAACAGTTTTCTAATGCATTTTTTGTTGAGAGAGAGAGAGAGAGAAGCAGAAAATGATATAAACATTACCAAAATTATGGAATCCTGAATAAATATGCAAGAAAGAAAGGTGTTGATGAATGATTTTGTAGCAAAACACGTTATTATCTGGACATGAAAATAGCATAGAACTGACCAGTTGCCTTTGCCTTCTTTTGTTCTTCTTCTGATAGGGAAATTGCAATAGCACGGTCCACATCTTCATTTCCATATTCTGACAGAGCATCCTGCACACATGATATAACATATTATCTTAGCTAACTTTTTCTAATTTGGAATAATATAGAAAGTCTTGACATATTTAACATAATACACCATTAAAAGAATATTTAATTGAGAAAGAAAATACACTTTCTGTATAAACTTGCAAAAGCTGTTATATTATCAAAGGTCAAGTGAAACATTATATATATATATATATATATATATATATATTGCATGGCACAGAAAACACAGGATATATCATCATGACACTGAACATATGACACATGTCTCTTGTACGTTGCACTAGATCATAACTCTTTTATTCAAAATAAATGAAATGCAGGGGAGCATAAGTTATATTTAGTATTTACTAAATACTAAGGGATCCACTAAGCAGATCATTTTTCCCTTTAGGCATGTTACAGTTGGATTATACTAAATTTTCCTTCTTGCACCCTTCACCCAGGAAAGAACTGCAATGAAGATATCATATTTCCAAAAAATAACATTGAACTTAAAGACGGTCCTTGAAAATGTAAAGAAGATGAACAAGCAAGTCTAAAGCATTGCAATTACCCAAGAACTGGATCGTTCATTCCAAACTCCATAATCACCATAATTTCCATGATATTGTCCTTCTGAAACTCTATGGCTGGAGCCTTTAAAATATCTGCTCAGCCAACCCATAATGCACTATGTTATCTGAACATTCCTGCGTTTAATTTCCCTGCATATCCAATCAGCATTGGATATATAACTGAGTAAAACATGTTAGAAACATTAAAATACACAAGAAACATAACAGAATATGTGTTTACTCATACTTCTAAAATCTGGTGACAGAATAATAATATCTTATGATGTCCAAGTACCTGAAAATGTAAGAACATCAGTTGTCGATTCATACTGTATAACAGTAGTTGTTGGAAACAGCATATACCGAAAAATTGCATGGAATCAAAATACCAAGTGATATTGAGATTGAGACCTAATAAGTTCGTAAAAATTTCACTAATTGCATATGTAACTGTATTGAAATACCCTAACAGCCTCGTATTGTAGAAAGTTATGAACAATTACCCTATTGTGACATTATGCAAAAACCAAGCCACTTACTTCTCCAGTCTAACATGAAATATATCACAGAGAAGGTTCCTTTTTCTTAATCTATCACAGATCCTATAAAAAATGTTTGTCTTATCCTGTGTTGAAATGCCCTAACAGCCTCGTAGTGTAGAAAGTTATGAACAATTACCCTATTTTGACATTATGCCACACATTATGCAAAAACTAAGCCACTTACTTCT